GGGTGGAAATAATTCTAGGAACTAGAATTGGAAATTTATTTTTTCTGTAATGTGCATGAGTCACTATGCAGTGTGTACTGGATGGGAGATAGCATTTTGTGTGCTGGGATGATGCTTTGGGAAGGAATGTAAATTGAGTTACAAAAAAAGGTTTCAGGAAAAAAAATATATCTATTCAATGACTGCAGTAGGATATGTAGCCCCAGTTAGGTGCTACTTTATAGGATGTGTAAAGTTAGACTTGTGCTCATGGAAATGTGTGTGTCACATGTGTTTGCTAGGAGGGTTTTCGGATTGATTAGGGTCTTTGGTGATTCAATAAAATGTGGGGGGAAAATGGTATAGAAAGCAAACATATAGCAAATCAATTAAATGGGGGGGGGAGGCAGAAAGCAACCATAGATACCAGAGACAATGTGGGAGGAGAACAGGAGGTGGCAGAGGGTAAGAGATAGGGAACCAAGGATGGGGGGAAAAAGCAAAACATACAGAAAACAAGAAATGGGAGATCATTTGCTAAGAATAACATATTTGTTGATGTGCTTGATTGAGACAAGATACAGTGTACTCTAGATGGAAAATCTCATTTTGTATGCTGTAATGATGTACAGTGAATGAATGCAAATAAATAAATTGGGAAAAAAATGAGAATAATCTGGGAAAAAAAAAGCTATTTGCTGCTGCTGATGTGGATAGTAATGCCTTTGTCTTGACTGATATGTATGGTATTTCCTCTGAAAAAATGTAATACACTGTAAAGATATATGTGATTCAATGTAATATGAACAATATTATTATAATAAATAAAATGGAAAAAAAAATCAATACCACCAAGTAATGTTCTGGTACAAATAATGTAAAGGCAACATGGTTCACATTGGTCATCCAAAGGCTTGTCCACAGCATAACTTGCTTCAAGCAAACTGCCTGACTCTTTGCTCCAGAATGGATTTTTCAAGGAAGCACAAAAAATCTGAAGAGATTTTACCTTCATGGTAAAATAGCCAACAAAACTGTTCAAGTCACATGT